ATGAGTCATCGGTATTACGTATTCAGTTCTGAAGAATAACTGTAGAAGAAGGTAAATCTTAAAATATTAGTGAAGTCAAACAAGCTGAGAAATCTAGAAAAAGTCTTGAATATTCTAGTAGTCAGGAAAACTAAAGAAAATAATGAGAGTCTAAGAAACATTTAAGAAACATTTAATGTCTGATGAAAACAAACTTTTGAAAATTGATTTCATCATATCAGTGGTTCAGTCAGTGGTGCACTGCAAAATATTGTTCCTTCATTTATTTTATCGATTTACCTAAATTATAAATATATATAAATATTATTCTCCCAGCTTTGTTGTTTTTGAGAATTCGTTATTTGAAAGCATAGTAACGATGTAAATTTAGAATTCGTTTACCCATTAATTAGCTTGTAATTAGAAACAGTGAAACACAGCAACCACACATCTTCAATTTAGTTTGTAGGAGCACAATGCTATCTGAATTCGCAAATACAGTCGACTGAATACAATGAGAGTTAGGACACTGTAAGCAACGAGTTCCGCAAGCAGAAAACAGTGACTATCATTTTTTGATGAAGTTTTATTCTCTGAGCTGGATAGTTTAGTCCAGCTCAATACAATGATCACTAAAACGGGTCATTTAAAAAAATGTTAAAATTGACTGTCATAAAATAGAATGATGTGACTGGCACATCACACTGATTTGATGAGAACAAACTGAGAATGAGTGACAATGGGAGGGTTTATCGTAGATGAACACCAAAATCTTAAAGAGATTTGAGCGGAACGAATCTGATGTTCCTTCCCATATATTTTTATTAGGGCAGCTGGCATGTAACGTGCAAGTGTAAAGCAAAGAAGTAATATCGAGGCATTCCTCTATCATCTTTGTGCCAGAAAACAATATATCGCCTCTCAGTAAACGATAAAGAAGTATCTAATTCTCGAATAGATGGCGAGAACGTGATTGATTTCTTTGACTATCGAGCACGTGGTTTGGCAAGACTATGCTATTTTATATCATAAGCACAACAACTACACTATAACAGGAGAATAAATCACCAGCGGCTTATGAGAATTGTGAGAATAGTAATCTTTCAATGTTTCCCTGTCACTAGACGGTTCCTAAGGCTGTCGTCACTAGATCACTGCTTCATTGTTCACTTGAACGAAAAAAGCAGATGTTAATAAGATGAGCTAAACTACTAGAAACTCGCACACCACTACTGCGACCAATACACATTTCTGTGCACTGTAATATCCTCATTCTCTCGCCATTCTCAACGTATGTTTCACAGCGTCTCAATTGAATATGTTCGTCTAAAATTTGAGTGCCTCTAGTACTAGTTGTTCAAAGATATTATTTGGAACTCTTGATACCGAATATATGTGCCTTTATAGTATAACGATTGTGTTTAGACGTGATGACATAATGTGGTCACTTAACTCTCTATTATTTAGTGAAGTACAGTGATCTATGCAAAAGCATTCAAGGTATTTTCTTATTAGGCTCAACTGCTGATGCCGTAAACTAAGCATTCGATTGACTTTATTTCACTGTCTGTTTATTTAAAGTACGTCACTTTCTGGAAGTATAATAGTGATGTTATTATTATAGAGTGAATATTTCAAACAAAATTGTGTGACTTATGACAAGGAATTATGAGTACTTCCACTAGGATTTTCTAAATATCCAATCGCTTCATTGGACGTATACAGTAATTCATCAAGAACTTTGAATTTAAAATTTGGATAAGATTTAAATTATATATTACTTTCCACAAAGTGTAGAGTCCAAGTTTGTTACATCGCTGTTCTAGGGTTTGAAAAATACAAAAACTAGAAGACGTTAAGACTTGAAGGCCTATTTTAAGATCTATTCTGAGAAAGACTGATTGTATTGTTATCTAGGTCTACTACTGTATGTAACTTAGATAACACCTTGCAACTTATATTATGGTCTACTTTGAGTAGATTGTCACCAAAGTGTATCAATCTACATTTAGCAGTGTTAAGCATCAACTGCAATTTTGCGCATTACAGAGCTACTTAGTTCAGCTCTGTACTAATGCAATTCCGCATATTGTTCAGCTGGTTAGGAGAAAATGAATGCACTATTTGAAGATAATCTGCATATAGAAGTAGCTCATACATACAGATGCAGATAGGTGAAAGAACAAATTCTACTCTGTCACTCATCATTTACAGGACATTCAAAACAGTAATGTTAGAAGTTCAGTATTGTCTGCAAAAAGTTCGTTGAAAAGGTTCACAGTGTTTTTTAAGCAGTTTATAAATGTGACATTTTACAAGATGCAGAGTACATCTACCGTTTTTATTCTTTCAGCGCACGCATTAATGAGCCAAATTAAAATACGTGGTCCATGTTTTTAATAAGTCCTTACCCTTTCTCTTCTATCACACGAGATTGTACTAGTATTAGCATGAGTCGCAATTTATATTATGCAAATCTGAAGGTATATATTTATTTGCAAATATCTCATTACCACCAACCACCAACTCTCAGCTAATACACTACCGATTCATTCCCTTATCGTCTCATTTACACGTACATCAAAACAAAAGAGTCCAACTCCATACGTATACTTCTCAGTCCAGCAAATGGAAAGTCAACTAATTCACATTATGATAAGAAAGTTTTACTAAAGCATCTACAAACAACAACACAGTACGGATGAAGGAATCTAGATTGAGAATAGTGAAAACTGAAACCGTGGAGTCAATAATGCAGTCCACGGTAATCCGAAATCGTTGTCACAGCTTTCATAATACTGTTTATATAATTTCGAAACTTAAGCAAGTAAGCTGACTGTCCTAAAATACAAACATTGTAATAATGAATCGGCAAGCCACTACAAAAATTCATTTTTAATTTGGGTTATACCAACCCTAATGTCGTGCAAATTAAATTATATATATACCACATAGTCTAGAAGGCTACAATTAGAAAAATTATACTCCCTATATCGACCGACTTTTTGTTTGGGATGTTTCTAAAATGGAAAGATAGAGAGTGCACCAACTACTATTTTATGTTAAATAGAGCAAGAACAAAGATTGGTGCAGAATAATATGAATTCATTTTATTTCGTTAGGTTCTCATCAGCTGCTTACAACCTAAATTATTTAAAATTCAACATTAATACAGATATTGACATATTTATATATAAGAGTGTGATTAAGGATCAATACATGTGTATGATGATGTAGCGAAGATTCAGATAGAGTTAATGAGCTCATAAAATGTTTGATTCGAATAAATAAATAAATAAATAAAGTTTGAGAGGGAAAGTTCTGGAACATTGAAATAGTGATTAGAACTCATTAAAATAGATTAATGGTAATAAAGAAAATATGAATTGAAATCAATCAGTTATGTATGATGTCATTTATATTTCAGAAAGAGTTGCAATAATGACGTAATAAATAAATAAATAGGAGCAAATTAATAGAAAGAGTGGGGGTTATTGTTACCAGGGTAAAGAAAGATTTATTACTGTCTCTTTTTGTATAAATAGGTCTGGTTTTAAACGCTTGATTGCTAACGCTTCAGCGAATTTCAAAAGGTTCGAGTTTGATTGTTTGTTAATCACCTTGAAGGACTTCAGTATATCAGCTTTATGTCCTGTATCAAGGAGATGTCTGGCGATAGCACTGTTGAATGCGTTCAATCCATTTAACCTTAAACTTTTCGGAATATGTTCTTTGAATCGTACGTAGGCTCTCCTTTCTGTTCTACCAATGTAACTGCTTTGGTAGGTACATGTAAATCTGTATACACAGTTGCAACTCTTTCTGAAATATAAATTACATCATACATAACTAACTGATTTCAATTCATATTTTCTCTATTACCATTAATCTATTTTTCATGAGTTGTAATCACTATCTCAATGTTTCAGAACTTTCCCTCTCAACTCTATCGGAATCTTTGCTACATCATCATACACATGTATTGATCCTTAATCACACTCTTATATATAAATATGTCAATATCTGTATTAATGTTGAATTTTAAATAATTTAGGTTGTAAGCAGCTGATGAGAACCTAACGAAATAAAATGAATTCATATTATTCTGCACCAATCTTTGTTCTTGCTCTATTTAAGATAATAAAGGGAACTATGTGTATAAAATTACTATTTTATGGTCACTGCTTTCAGAATCTTTGCATACTTATATTGATAGTGAATTGATATCTCTTCAGAATACAAGATTATGTATATTGTCATGCCTTGTTTGGGTATGAACACACTGTGATAAGCAGCACATATTAATTATTGCTAAAAATCCGCCATCAATTGAATGACCACAAACAGTGTCCCAGGTGGTAACATTTCTGGCAGAATGTATCATGGAGTTCGTGTTTCACTCACTACAACACCCTTCTGCAGTCCCATTGTCTAAGTTTTTAGATATTTCGATTATAGTGTAGCGAACAATCCATTGCGTCATTATATTAAGATCAGTCTTGTTCCAACTCACATTCATTCAACCACGAAAAATTCTTTACAAAAATCACCAATTTTAACAGTATAATAGTCCGATTTTGCTCGTCTGTTGCCTGTTTTTATCATCAATGTTCATTATCCCAAGTGAAAATCACCTGATCAGACACATCGAGTAAGCTGAGCTGATCTGTTGCCAAATGCCAGATATACCCAATCATAACGTCGCTCTGTTGAATTTGTGCTCTTCACTGTTATGGAATGGTGTATAACATACAATCTACCAATGCGCTAACGAACTGTGGCCGTAGGTGTATACTATGTTCAATGAATAAGTAAACGATGACCAACCACAAACTTTTGTGTTAATGTGTTATTGTCTGTGTCGATCAGTGTCATCTGGACAGTATTAGTATATAAAAGTCGATCCGATAGTTGACTAAATATTTTATTGTAGTTGAGGAAGAGAGTCACCAATTCCTTCATCTGACGTGAGAACAATCGGTCTGACAATGAGATATATCGAGATGCTCATCATGATGTTTATGGTACACATTACAGTGATTCAGCTTGTTGATTCAAGTATCTATAATATTGAAAATAATGGCAACAGAGGTCACTTTTTTGATGGTGTTGATAATAACAAAAACATTGACGACAAGATTGGCGATCATCTTGCTCAAAATACAAATGAGGATAATGAGTACAATTACGTATATTTTGACGCTATCGAAAAACCTGAGAAAACTGAAGGCGAGATTAACGATTTTCAAGTTCAAAATACACATGAGGACTACAAGTTCAACTACGTATACGATGACGCTATCGAAAAACCTGAGAAAACTGAACGAGGGATTAATGATTTACAAGTTCAAAATACACATGAGGACTACGAGTTTAACTACGTATACGATGACGCTATCGAAAAACCTGAGATAAATGAAGACAAGCTTAACAATCCCGATGATGCTGGGAAGAAGAAAGGTAACAATGTTAACAAAATCCATGAAATCATTAAAGGAGATGGAGAAATTCAGAATTAAGATGAATGTAGAAAACGACGTAAAATGCACTTCAGTCAGTGGTGCACTGCAAAAAAATGGTTCCTCCAATTATTTTATCGATTTTTTTCAAATAATAAATAAATAAAAACATTTGTTACAAAATATAAATATTATTTTCTCATCATTGTTGTTTTCCACCATTCATTATTTGACGACATAGTAACAATGTAAATTTTGATTTAACCGAATAATTAGCTTGTAGTTAGAAACAGTGAGACACAGCAATCACACATCTTCAATTTAGTTTGTAGGAGCACAATGCCATCAAATCAGTGTGATGTGCCAATCACTTCATTCCATTCTATGACAGTCAGTTTTAATCTCTATTTGAATGGCCCGTTTTAGTGATATTTGTATCATCAGCTTAACTTTACGATAAGTCGATTTCACGATGACTAGCTTACAACTAATACGAAAATTTAGAATTTGATCTTTCGTGCTAGCAAATGGTTCTATAAATGCAAAATAGTCCAAATCTTTATACTGAAGCATACAAATTCAAGTAATTTCAGCATATCAAAATGTCAGTCAGTAGGGGTTTACAGGTTAATTTTCTTCCATTTTATATGCAAGTTCGTATAAAGTAATAAGTAGAATGAGATATCTTTTACAGAATATGAAAAATTATTTGTCTTTTCATTATTGCTTTGGATAGGTCAATATGTTTCAGCTTAACGAGTATGTTTGATTGGAAACGATGTATAAACTCACCGTTTGTAGTAGAAAGCAACCAGCCACAGCAACCTCATATCTTTAATTTGAATTGTAAACAGCATTATGTCATCCGAATTTTCGAATACAGTTGACTGAATGCAATGACAGTTAGGGCACTGTAAGTATCGTTCAATGCAGCAATGAATGAAATGAGTTATCTATGCATCTCATTCTTAGACTTGGTCTTAATGTTTTTCCTGAACGATATTCACAATATAGACGATCCGAATGATTGTAAGTTTCCTACACAGTTGACGAGAATGTATTTAGTTGTGCGCGGTTTTCATATGAACGAGTTCCGCAAGCAGAAAAAAGTGATCATCATTTCTTGTTGAAGTTTTATTCGCTGAGCTGGACGAAACCATCCAGCTTAGAGAACAAAACCACATCAAAATCACCCACCTGAGCTACAAATCTTCTCCACCATCTCAAGAGTGACTATCGTAGTGTTTCGAGTTATTAAACACGTGTGCCGAGACGCATGAGTGCTAGTGACAAAGTGGATAAAGTTGAGTTGAGTAATAAGACACATTGCACTGTAGATTAACAAAACCATGATGACAAATTTTGTGAAGAGTAGCCATATCGAAATATTTGACTGGAGAATATCATAAGCATGTCCATATTATTATGAGGCGTCGATGATTTCTTTGAAAAATGTGGGGACGAACACCAGATTCACTTCGTTCTATCGACTTTAGTTGTGAGAAAAATGTCTATTGAAAAATAAATTAATGGCGCGCTTTAGAAATATTGTGGATTCGCATCCTAGATTTTTTGTTACGACGCCTGTCTTTCTGATAATAACCAAGCTAAAATGAGAGTTATCTTTCGCGCGTATTCATTTTGTGGGATATGAAATCATTTTTTTGACATATCTTTTATGTGCACAATAGACCAGCTTAAAGATTTCTCCGCCTTGACCATCGAAAACATCAAAACTTGAGCGCGATAAGAGTGACGTACTTAACACTGTTTGTAAGGTCTTTCATATATGTCCTCACCCGTGCTCAGAAGAGCGTGAACACAAATTTTATACACGGATGATTTACTCAAATACCATACATGAAAAGAGAATGTTTCTCGAAAAAGTTCAAACGCATTACGCACTCCAATCGCTCGCATCATTCTGATGACATGAGTCACACACGCCAGTTTATCGCCAATTAGCACTGCTCTCTGGTACACCATATAGAGGTTCAAGTAGACAGAATGTGGAATTCGGCCATATTGACGGAGTAGTCAATTACTACACACAGTATTATATCACATACAAATTTCATTGTCGATGAACAATTTTCAGTATTGATGAACTCTCGATTTGTCATACAATGTGAGAATGGTTGGTCAGATAACATAACATTTTAACTGAAGTCGGATCATCCTATATGATACGTATAGTGTTAAATGCTCTAGACACAATCCATGTTCACCACTATTTACATTGTACGAAATGAGTTAACTCTGTTGCTCAGTAATTGCAATTTCATGTCCATGGTTGTTTTAGATTTTTCTCACTATCCCACTCATGTGTGATAAACGCGTTTTACGACAAATAAAAATGAAATGAAACGTCTGTTAGAATTCTGTACTTTGAACCTAGTTGGTAGATTTTAGTGGTATTTGAATAATCCCGACTGCAAATATGTTGCATGTTTCTAGATATCAAGACCGCTTTATCTCTGTTGAACAGGATTGTTCTGTGACATCGTACGCCAAAACAATGCGTTTCTGTGAAACACCCCAGTGTTCTGAACGCTCTGAATATTAACAATACCTGCAAAACGATAGGAAGTCACCAATGTTTTCAGTGTCTCATCATATCATGAGAAGATAAGTGTTGAAAAACACCGATGATGTTATGAAAGCGAGATTGGTGTTGTCGAATTGTGGTGTGGGTGATGATCTATTGTGTTATCTTTTCTACATACAGTTGGCTATCGAGTTTCTATCACAGAAATGCACATACAGATTTTTGTATGGAATGAATACTTAACAGTATGAGACGTGACATCATAGAAGCTGGAATTGAGCAATTTTAGCGATTAGTCAAAGATATGTCTGTTGTTCATAGAAACGAGACGAAATTCACCAAATTTTGCCTTAAGAAGGTTACGTAAATTTACATATCTCCACATAATGGCAGTGTAATTCAGTGCTAAACTTTAGTGACCAATATTCATTATAATTCCAATATTATGGTTCATCATCTCAAGTGAGAAGCGGGAGAGCAAGTGACATAACTTGTTGGTGGCACATATCTCACCGTCAGAAATTTGAACAAACGGCAAACGTTTCACACGATATAATAAACTGATCACTTTGTTTCATTTGTATGTGAGTGGTACAAACTAGCAGATTTTGATGCATTGACATTGCTTCGTCAATCAATCATCCTTGCAAGACACTGCAAATCAAATCTAATAACAGGGTTTGAGCACATATATACATGGAGAGGAGAACGAAGCATCGAACAATATTTAGGCAATGAATATTTTGGCTAGAGTCTGTCTTGAGCCTCAGTGATCATAACCATACAGAGAAATATAACGTTACCAGTTATGTAAGTTAGTGAAAAGACTTGACTAAAATTAACCGCAGTCGAAATTGGTTGTAGGATAGTTGCTATAAATCCGTGTGTTAGAACGACTTGCTAAAATATCCAAGGCAACATAACGTAAAAAACATAAGTCAAACGACAGCAAACTTGAAATGATATGTTTTGGATGTGTTTCCACTATCTGAAAGCGACCTTCATTCTAGAACCCTTCACATGGTTAGATTAGTCTGTTCTGACAATATACGTTTCCCATGCATTTTGAAATGACAGCTTAATGCAGTTCGTAACTTCGCCTAAAGCTCTTCTAGCGTTACTACCGGTCCCAAGCCCGCGTAAAGGAGGAGAGTTGGGCATGGGGCTAGCTTCTTCATCCTGTAGCAAACTAACTCGCTAAAAAACGCTTACGAGAAAAAATTATCCAAACCATTTGAACTCTGCCCTGGGAGTTAGAAGGTCTTCATTTAGAAGAATTATGACGCTTCATGGTGGAAGCCGAGTTCCTTCGGAAGCCACGAGGCCAATGTCCCTTCTAACAACCAGAGCAAAACTTTTTATCGGTACATTGAACGTCCGAACAATGTGGGAGACCGGGAAGACCAGTCAAGTAGCAATGGAAATGAGGAGATACAACTTGGCAGTACTGGGAATCAGCGAAACCCATTGGACTCAAGCTGAACACCAAAGGCTAAATACGGGAGAGATGCTACTATACTCCGGCCATGAAGAGGAAAATACTCCGCACACTCAAGGAGTCGCTCTAACGCTGTCCAAAGTAGCACGAAATGCACTTGTAGGATGGGAATCTCACGGATCTAAAATCATCAAAGCATCATTCAAAACAAAGAAGGAGGGGATCACAATGAATATTATCCAATGTTATGCAACCATCAATGATAGCAACGACGAAATTAAAGATCAGTTCTACGAGCGGCTGCAGTCAATCATAAAGAAGTGCTTAAAAAACGACCTCACCATTCTGATGGGAGATTTAAACTCAAAAGTCGGAATAAACAACACCGGATATGAAGATATCATGAGACGAAATGGACTGGGTGAGAGAAACGAAAATGGAGAAAGATTTACAAATCTGTGTACATTCAACAAATTAGTCATAGGAGGCACAATGTTTCCACACAAACGTATACACAAGGCTACATGGATCTCACCGGACCACACTACAGAGAACCATATAGATCATATTTCCATCAATAAAAAAGTTCCGAAGGACAATGGAAGATGTGAAAACCAGGAGGGGAGCTGACATAGCTTCAAATCACCACCTAGTTGTGGCTAACTAAAAACTGGAGCTAGAGAAAAACTGGACAACTAAACAAACAGCACTACAAACGTTCAATACAGCCTTCTTTCGAGATAATAACAAAATCAACGAATTCAAGATATCTCTCAACAACAGGTTCCAAGCCTTACAGGATCTACTGAAGGAAGAAGAAACTACTATGGAGGACAACTGGAAAGGCATCAAGAAAGCATTAACTTCAATGTGTCAAGAGGTTCTCGGTCTAAAGAAATACCATCATAAGGAGCGGATCTATACAGAAACACTAGACAAGATCAAAGAAAGGAAGAACAAGAAGGCAGCAATTAACAACACCCGAACACGAGCAGAGAAAGTCCAAGCACAAGCTGAATACATAGAAGCAAACAAGCAATTTAAGACGAGCATTGAAGACGACAAGAAGAAATA